AGTGGGTTGATTAAAGCAGATTAAAGGAAAATGAAAAGTGATTAATCAACGGTTAGGGGGGTTAACGGATGACTTAGTGTGTTGAGTGTTGTGTATGTGAGGGTTAATGGTGACAATTACGTAAAAGAAATACAGCAAAATAAAAAAAAATGAACCCTAAAATCGAATTGGCCCCAATTCGATCTCGCCTCTCCTTCACTCCCATCTCGGATCGCCTTCTTCTTCGCGACTCCTCTCTCTCGATTTTTCACTCTTTCTCCGCGATTGTTCCTGAAACATAAATCAAGGCATCAAACGTTCAATAATTTTAACATATGCAAGGGATTTTACCGAAGGTGGGAGGCGAACGGATGCGGAGCGTGAGGGGTTCCCTCCGGAGGTCTTGTGGCGAGCCTCAGAGTCGTCAACCTTCGAAGATTTAGCGTAGAAGATGAGTAGTTCTCTCTCTTTCCTTTTGATTTGATCTACTTAGGGTTTTTTGTGGTTTTCTTGCTGAGTTCGAATTTTTTTCTCAGAAAAAAGAGCCGTCCTTCTTCGATTCGAATCCCTCCTTTTATAACCTCAAATATGCTAAACGAAAATTGATTGCTGCCTTGAATGTGGATTTGAACTTTCCTTTTCTGCCTGATTGCCATGATGATTCGTTTAATTGCTATTTCAATCTCTGATTATGATAGGATTTGATTTGGTCTATTTTGAGTAGAATCTTCTGTTGCTTCAAAGAATATCCTCTAACGTTTTTTTTTTATCTTCTGAAGGTGATCTGGCGGGTACACGTGGCGAAGGGCTTGGGCTAGGAGGCGGGTTGGAAGCCTGGAAGGGAAGTTCGTGTTTGATGTGTGCAGTGGGAGTTTTACGAAGAATGAGGCTGGTGGTGAAGATATCGATTTCTCAATTGTTCACAGGGTATACTCCTTCCGAGCTCAATCTCTATTCCTTTGGTTTCATTTTCTTTGAACTTACGCATGCTTGAATTGGTAGATTCTAGGATGTTTGGTTGTGTTTTGCTAACTTCAAAAACTTCCGGGTCTGCTCTTGCTCTGCAGGTTTGGTAATAGTTATGGCTGCGGCTCAATTCTTCGTTACTGCTCATGATTGTCGCAGCAGATGGTCGGTGAGTTTGGAGATGGTGCTAGTGATGATAACGCTAGTGATGAATCAAGTGTCCGGGAGCTTGTTTGTAAAACCATTACTGAGTTCTGTTTTGACGATTCCTATGCTTCACAAATTCAGATCTCTGAAGATGGTAACATCGGTTTCACTCAAAATGGCTTTATACCCCTCTTTTGAATGTGTTATTCTTCTTTCGCAGGTAATGGCCTTGTATGCATTTGGAAGCATATGATACTAGGATTGGTGGCATGACGGACCACTGTAGTTCCTTGTGTGTTGATTTTCTTTCAACTTTCAATACATATGGTTTGTCCCTTATGGCAGGTTTGCTCAGTTCGATATAGTACTCAATGCCTAGATCATCCTGAGAGTTTTCAGCATGGGATTAGCAGGGATGACGAATCGTAGGTTCAAGTTAATGCAGGCTTGGACCATGACATGAGTGCAAAACTATGGTAACATGTCAAACTCTCCTTTCAATCTCTCGTACGTGCTGCCCATTGGCTGTAAAAACTGTGAGCTCTGTTTATGACTGTAGTGACTGTTACTCGCGTTATGCTTCTCGTGTGTGGTGTATGTGAATCTCTCAATTACCTTCTGTTTTGACTATCATGTTCTCGGCTCTTATTGCAACAAGATTTGATAAAGCAACAGGTTTGGTCAGTTTGGAGGTTGGATACGAGATGATCGTATCTCGCGGTTGGAATAGTGCAGCATAGGGAGCTCTCGTCTTTATGGAATCACAAAGTAGCTTTCCCTACTCTCATGCCGGGACAGTAATCACCAAAACCATTACCAAGATAGATAAATCTCTTGTCATCCAATTCACTAACTGCATTTTGGATCCTATCAATGATTGAACCGTTGCACATGTTTGGAGGGCAGGGATTAGTACAACCATGTGAATTTTTTGTTGAAGTCAAGATAAGGTGAAGATCTTAACCTTTCCTTGTTCATTAGCATTAATCTTTGAAAAGCATTCAATTATTCCCAACTGCCCCGAAATAATTTCAAATGTAAAACATGCCTGCATCAATCACAATCCTCAAATCACACCCTAAAGCAATGTGCCGACTAGATTGCAGGTATTCTTCTGTGATGAATTGGAATTCTGTGAAGATATGGCTGTCATTACTTCATGGGATGGTGCCTCCAGACCGCGAACACGCTGTAGAAAAGTATATCACATCGATATAGTAATGAACCACCGGCTTGTTGTAGAACTTTTCTTTCTTGTTTTGGTGATGCTGCATTCCTGCTAAGTTAATTGTTGTTGCTGAGTGGTGTTAATTGTGCTAATGTTGTAGGGATTCTCTTTCGGTAACAGTGGGTGAATGGGAAGCTATACATCCTCCGAGTCTGCTTCGGCGTATCCCAGCTTCAAAGAAACGCTTAACGGTAATAATGGGTAGGAGTGCATAGTTACATGGGTCACTATTGCTTCTGCTTTCTGTAACATTTAAATAAGTCTGGAATCTATTGGCGTACTTGTTGTCGGTAGAACAAATCCAAGACATTTTATTCGTCGGTAGGCATGTCGTCACTTCCTGCTAGAATAAGTCTAATAATGCATAAATGTTGGTGTTGGTACTGATCCTATTGTACTAATTGTTTGCAGCAGCTGGATGTGGACGGTGGCCATGAAGTCCAAAGGAAGCTACAGGAGAAAAGTACCCTGCAAATGGTTTCACACAACTTATTCAACTTCAAACTCAACCTTCTCAATACAATTGCACAACGCCAAATATTTTCCTCCTATCCCTCACATGAGTAGCCATAAGGATTATAGTTTAGCTTCGCATATGTCTCGCCCCTCAGTTGCTTAGTGTGAATCCCAATTCTGTAACACACGTACATGTAAATTCAATGGCTACCCACTTGATAATGTTGACGTAAGATAATCTAAATGTAATAAACTTGTTATGGAACCAATCCTCTTTGATGAATATTATGAACTCTGGTGCATTTTGAATTGATGTGAACTATCTTTTCGAATTTGTCGTGCTTTGAACATTTTGACATCATGTAAAAAACAAACAACTCGAACTTGAGTGATAGTGAATGTTGAGTTCTGGGCCTTGCACTTTTGATTCCCTTCGGTGATTTTAACTTGAGCTTCTTGGATCTTGAATTAAATTTAGAGTAAGTTGAAATGCTCTGAGTTCGGTAAATCCTCAAGGTGAGACTTGCATCATCTCTTGCATCTTTACTCACGAAATTTTCGAATACCAAATAACCCAATTTAAAAGAATGATCCAACTCCAAGAATTGTTTGACTTATTCCCCGTTCAAACAAGGATAACTTGAAATTCCACTGACTATGAAAGCCACGACCGCTCCTTAAATGACCATGTCCGTTATCCTAATCCTCATGCTTTTGTGATTGAGAATGGACGCTATCTATCTAGAACTATGGCACCTGCATAAGTTGGTTAGCCGTAAAAACAAGCATAAATATTAAAAATAAAGTCGAATGACAATAGAAAATGCGCAAAAAGAGGTGGCATCCTACGGTCAAAAATTAGGGTGCAACAGTCCATTGATGAAAGAATCGGTTCCATATATTGTCCAACAAGATTTATGAATAATTGTGGTATATTGTTTTGATGGTCTTGATTTATGTATGAAAAGAAAAATAAAAAGATTAATGCATTAGTGGTATATTAAAAGAATTATGATGAATTGATAATATTTGAATTAGAAAAAAAATTAGGATATAGAAATAGTAAGTATCAACCTTAAAGTTAACATTTTGGTGTTTGAAAAAAAATTGAATAGAAATTGCAAAGAATCACTACAATAGTTGTGATACAATGTTCCAATAAATATATAGATCATGCTGCAATGAAAATAACGAATTCCATTGGTACTAAACAAAGACTAACACAACATTTATGCAATGAATATATAGAATCGAAAAAAGGACCAGTAAAAAATGGGAAATGTATTCCCAACCAATGATCACGCTGCACTGAAAAGCATGAAAGTTACAATATCATATGGCTTTGATTTTCATGTGGAAAATTTGAAGATGTAGACAAATCAATGTATAATATAATAAAGCTTTGGAACATGAAAAGATTATATAATATGGGTCGTACATTAAGTACACATGAATACAAGATTTGACGCAATATGAATACAACATCACCAACACCATTAAAGATGATTTGAACCTGCATAAAACTAAAAAAAAGATAAACTGTTATTGGTTTATTATATTGGTTTAACCCCACAACGTGAGTGGGTTTTGATTTATCCCCCGTAATTAAAATAAAATAAAAACAAAAAAAAAAAACACATAGACATCAACAAATGTGAATATTTCTCGTCAAATAGTAACCTAAGACATCAAAGCAACAAAACATTTATATTACAAAAACATATCACACGGAGGTAAAACAAAACCCGCTCACATCACATGGAATTTCTTCATACAATTTCCAGAAAACAATGCATTTTTATTTGATTTTTTTAAAATATTCGATTATCTCTTCATAGAAACTCGTAAACTCCGATATTTCTAACAAAAGTCCATAATAAACTCGTGCAAAGTCCCACGAAATAGAAAAATCCGAAATTATATTTAAAAAATCCAATAATACACAACATTTTTTAAAAAATCGGAAAAATTAAACAAGAGAATTACATTAAAAATACTGTTCCAAGGAGTGTCATGGGTGGGATGACAAAATCTCAAACAGTTACTACTCTAAGCCTCTAAGCCATTGATGTTGTGTGTAATGCTCATAATTTAGGTGAGTGTATGCTTAGGAGTCTCATTTAAATTTTAAATACTAGTCTCAAAATTGTACATACCATTTTAGTTTATCTAAGTTTATATATATAAAAGGGTTCTTCAAATTTCAATCACCCACCATTGTTTTTCAATCTACAAGTTTAGAGGGGTAAGAGTGATTAAAAAAGAGACAAATTACAGACATATCATCCATGGCAATACCACTTCTCTTTCTTTTCCATTCACGTATTGCATATTTCACAACCCTTTCACCTGCTTTTTCTTTATCTGGTGTTGCACAAACAATCTTCACTGCCTCTTCGTTCGATACAACATCCCAAACCTAAACAGATAGTAACAAAATTACTAATTAATTTCTTAAAATCATATACATGCACAAAGATTAATTATACACATACATACCCCATCTGTTGCTAAGATGATAAACTGATCCCTAATGGTAACTTTTCTATGTGTCACTTCTGGCACAGAGATTAAACCATACTCTTTCATACAATAGTCACCAAATGCTCTTGATATTGCTAATCCTGGTGTTTTACCATTTGGCATCCAAACTCTGTACACCCCTGGTTCATCTTTCATACAAAATACAACCCCTTTTGATTCTTCTATCCTCTCCGCCTCCTCTGAAATCAACAAAAAAGAAATGCTTAAAACTTAAATTTCTCCAACAGATTACTGTTACAAATTCATGTATAAATTGAAAAAATATCTCACTTGGTAAATTTGGTTTGAAGTCAGTGGTAAGCTGAAGTGCAAGTAATGTGCCATCTTCTGAAGTGGTTGCTAATACAAGTCTTGAATCACCCAAATTTGCTATAATAAGGTTTTCACCCTGAAATTTTAACTACAAATTCTTACACGTACTTATAACAGTTATACCAGAGGTGTCAGTGCTACAGAGAAAATAACATGAGATATAGAATAACCTGTTTGATCATTGTCAAAGCTGTAGCGCCGCTTCGAAATGAATCAATTCCAGTATGCTGCTTCAGATCTTGGTCAACCGCAGCAAAAGTCTTGAAGTAGGATTGTTCCCATAAGTTCAATCCATGAATGTTTTTGTTTTCTTGAACCTTAAAATCTAGGTCAATTGATGTTGCAGCGAGATTTTGTTGCCAATTGCATAGCAAAAGGGATGGAACTAATTTCCTCACCCTTTTAGCTACAAAGTGTCCCCAAGGACCATGTCCATCAAAAACTCCACAAAGCATCATATCTTGTTGGCAACCAAATTCCTATAATCAACGATTAATCACAAGATTAACTTCTTAATTAATCTAAGTATGGTTTAATCTTAATTACATACCTCCCAAACAACAAGACGATCTTGGTTGACTCCTTTTTGGCCTCTATGTGTAAAAACAGAAACTAAAGTATTGTCTTTGTTGGACTTAACAACTCCAGAAGAAGTCAATAACAATTCATTCTTCCTTGCTTCTTTTGCCAATTCTTCCACTACTTTCCTTGCATCATCCTTTGGAAAACTCTTGTCTTTCTTGATTGACATAGTTCTTGCCAATCCGTTTACAAAAGATGGGAAGTTTACCATGGTGATTACAAGTTAGTTTGATATGGTTTGAGTTTGTAATATGGTACTAAATAGTCTTGAAAAAATGTTAAAAGACATTTGTTTATTGTAAGGTAGTGGTGTCATTCTCATCTTTTCTTTGGCCACCAACGAATATAAGATAAAGAAGTGGGCATGTTTGTTAGACAATGAAAGCTGATCAAACTGACTTCCCAATTATGAGCTCTAGTGAATTTTATGTGTAAATTTTTAGTGATTATTACGGTTTTATTTATGACAAAAATACAATTGACAAAGCAAAATGAATGAGAATTAGAATTGTGTACGTGGTCGGTGATAAACAAGTACTAGAATAGCAAATTGACAAGGACGTAATGAATTAAGTATCTTGATTATGTGGATGGAATTTGTTGTAGTTTGTGGTTGTCTTTAAATAAAGTGATCGTCAATCTTATTTTATTTTTCTTTGTTCTGGTAAATATTTCTAGTATTTGATTAATGATTAAGAGTGTAGTGTTCAAACACAATCAAGACATAATCTATTGGGATAATTTTAACAATACAGCCAAGTGAATATACCAAACACTAGGCTATGGCTTGGCCAGCTGGTCTCTATAAAAAAAACAGTGTATTTTAGTCTCTATAAGATTGGAAAAACATGATATAATTAATAATAGAAAATCTTGGTATAGTTTGATATATTTCTTAATATGTAATTTTTGTAATTTATTTATTTTTTGAAGTTGATATTATTGAGTAGTGATTCAGGCAACCTACTTGCTTTTTTAATAGCATGAGAGGTGTTTAACTGCTCATAAATCAAGTTCTTTAGCTCTTTAGATTTGCTGAGATTTTTCTCTGAAGCTGGTCTAGTAAGCTTAAGTATATTCTTTTATTTTTCTCACAAAAACTACTTATGAAATAATAATTTAAATTACTTTTTAATGTGTAGTATGTTATTTTTACACTATTTGATAATCTTTGTCAAACAATAACAAAATGTTTATATTGTTTAGTTGCATTGATATTGTAAATGAATGTGTTTATAGTTTAATTAAATTTAAATATCATAATTATAAATTGTATACTTTTTTTCTCATCAAAATCTATGATATAATTTGTTAATAAATAAACCATTGTATATTTATAAAAATAATATATCAATAATAAAAATGATGCAATAAATAAATAATCAAAATAGAGGATAAATATATTGTGAATGTATTCTGTATTTAAACATAATTATTTTAATTTAAATTATAATATAAAAGATAAAATGTGTTTTTGATAAAACTAATAGAAGACTCGTACATTCGCACGGGTTTTTAATTGATTGGAAAAAAATGAATTAATGAAAAAAATTATTAATTGAATTACAAAACAAAGAAATTGAAATTATAAGTGGAAAAATGTGAAGGCCTACTATAATAAAAAAGTTTCGGTGGAAAAGTTTCACCGTTGTGCTTGATAGAACTTTTGGGTTCTTGCTGCTTCTTCTTGAATTTTGAAATTTTACATAAATAAATAAAAACATCTTCTATTGATGCTTTTTCTACAAATTTTATTTTTAGACTTTCATGTATTTTATCTTTAGACTTTCATGTATTTCTTTCTTTGTGAGTCCTTATCTAAGCCCCTGTTGAATTCATAGGCAATAGTTGTACTTTATAATCTTCTTGTATAATATTTTAAAGATCTAATTCTTCAAGATAAACTTACATCTTAAAAGTCTAAACATGTAAAATACTCTTCATTAACTACACAAATTTTGTTCCTCACAATTTGTATCATTTAGCAATACAATCATTATAAAATATACAAAAGAGCCAACCCCTTGTGATACCAACATCTTATTACAAAATGATGAACCTTTTCCACCATATCCATAATACAATTGATAATTGTATACTATAATACCTCAGTTGTTGAAAAATCAAAATATCAATTTCATTTAGGTTTATTTATGCCTCCTACTCACCCCAGAAAGCTAATGACAATAAAGTTTTTAAATATTCAGTTACATTATAATTGCCAAAGTTCTTGTGTCACATCATCGAGACGATACACCCTGATTATACAAAGACGAAGCACCATAAGATTTGGAAAGTTCTTTGACATTGCAACTACGACTACATTCATCATCGTTTGGCAGAAAAATAAAATCGATTCTAATTTTCAACAATCCTGCGAGATGACTTCAAAATCAACCTGAGAAACAGGACCTACAGTTTCCTCCCTCGCATCTGTTGCACCCCAAATTTTGACCCCTTAGATCTTCGTCATCATTTTAGGATCATATTCATTTGATTATCTAACCTTAACATATTTCAAGTCGGTCTTTGTCAAGATGCAGGTGAATTAGGGTTCCGCACAGCCGAGAATCGAGATTTTGACGGTTTAATCAGTCAACGTATTGGATTGGTGCTCCATGAAATAAGTATCCACATCATCAAATATACTCCATTGGGTCAAGTATGAATTCAATTTGAGGTTGTCACCCAAGGATCAAGAACAATGCAATTCGGGATACCCGATTAGGGTTTTCGATTAGGAAAAGTCAAATGTGGTTTGACTTTTGATTTAAATGGTGTTCCAATGGTGGGATCATTGTCCATGAAGTTCATATGGCTTACTGAAGTCTACTCAAGAAGTTTCAAGGCCTCAAAAGACCCGGAGCATCAACAGTCGACTCGGTAGTCATCAATCGATCGTTCGGTTGACCAAAAAGTCAACTCTTCAATCATAAGGAATTTGACCTCAAAGTATGAAGCAAAAATGTTCCTAGTAACATATTACACATGTCCATGAAGTTTCATGACCATTGGATCAAGTATTGAGGAGAAATCAAAAAATCGGGAAATTAGGGTTTTGAAAGGGGCAAGACCATAACTCCCTAACCACACATCCAATTGAGTTGGTTCAAAACTCATTGGAAAGCTCTTGACAAGTCCTACAAAAGTCCCATAGTGGTCCATGAGCATAAAATGCATAGATTTGGAGTTATGGCCAAAGTCATTACAAGAGGAAAAAATAACTTAGAAATATTCTAAGTTATTGGCCTTTTTAGGCATGTTTTTAGCAACTTTGAGAGGATTTTTGACCTAGTTCCATTTGGAATATGAAGATCATGAAAACATGAAAATTTTAGAGCTGCATGAGGGCTTTCCAAAATGTACTATAACTCCTCCATAGCCCTTATGAGTTGAGAGTTATGAATCCAGCAAGTTGAGGTTTCAACACCTGAGTTCATCATTTCCATTTTTCACAAACTCACTCTTTAACCACTTGAGCTATTCTCAGCCATTGGATCATGTTTCTATCTGCTAATTAGAGAGTATGATGTGTAGAAATGCATAAAATTAAGAGGTTTGATGGACTTTGCAAGTGGTATGCAAGTTGGCATTATTTTAATCAAAGAAAATCAAGATGAAAGAGAAACTTTTCATGAAGTAACTTGCAGCTGCAGTTATTCTAATCCCTAGCCACACTACAATCACTTCCTTGTCATTTATGCCACTTGATTTATACATAATCTTGAGCCAAGAACTTGGACTTGCAGCTGCAACAAATCTTGAAGAAGATTGCATTTTCAAAACTCCCTCCAAAAATGCCAAAGTACCAATATGCCCCAAGCCTTTCCTTGCCTATAAATAGAGATTTCCTCTATGTTGAAACACACACCAAATCACTCTAAAACCCAAGAGAAAACCATAGCTTTCTTCTTGCCTTGCATTTTCTTACAAGTGAAGAAAATCATTCCAAAATACCTCAAAAATCTGCCTTGAGCATTTACCCCTCCAAAACCATTTTCACCCACTCAAAATCATCACAAACCATCCACACAATCCACAAATAATATGTGGGAGGTGTTCAAGCTTTTAAACCAGCCAAAAACTTCATTTTCTCAAAAGTCAACTTTCAACCAAGCAAAGTTTGACTTCACACATAAAATCTGCCAAATCACTGCCCAGGCCTGTTTTAATCACTTTAAACCTCCAAACACCTTAGGTTTATGATGTACCAACTATCCATAACCTAAAATACCATCATCATCACTTATTTTGAGTTTTGTCCTAAAGGTTCACTTGTTTACTTCAAGTGCAAGAAAAGTTGTCATCTTCATCAAGACATTGGATTGGATCTTATTTTGGGAGTCTTCAAGGTTTTCTCTACTATATTAGCTTGCTTGGAGGTCTATAAGAGGTTGTTAGTCACTATCCTCATCTTAAACTATCATGAATATGTTTAATGCACATTAGTTGGTTTGAGTTTAAATGCAATGTGCAGTCATGTTTGAATCTGCCATATTTTGCTTGCTTGGCTCAGCAATGTGTATTACTTTTTCAATGATCATACAATGTTGTGCTGTTGTGTGTCAAACCTTGAGAATCACTTAAATACTACTCTATGTCATGTATGAACATATGAAGGATTGTTTGCAACTGTTATGAAGTTTGAGGCTGTTTTGATCTTGGTTCTGTTTGTGAACGATGTTTCTGTTGCAGCAGCATTCTTTAAATATTGACCTTGTTTGTTGGCATTTTAAATTAGAGGCCCTTATATGTATGATTCATGTGATGTTGGTATCATTTGAAACTGGTTTGGTTTTGGTTCTGCTACCATTCTGTTCTTGCCTTTTCAAACTCATGTGCATTTTTCAACTCATAGAGCATTTTCAATGCTAGTACATTTTTGAGTCATCCTTGTGCTTGAACTTGGTCCATAACATGTTTTGAGTGTGCTTGCAAGTTGTTTAGTCCTGTTGGACTTGGGATGATTCATGTGGCTTTAGAGGCTTGTTGATGACCAATACCTTATTTTGCTGTCTTAATGTTTGTAACCATCATGATATTTGCTTGAAACTTGATACTTGCCATTGTCATGCTAAGTATGCCTCTATGATGATTTGAACTGCTGGTTGTGTTTGATATATGTTTGTTAACATGAGAATGTGGTTTTCATTTGAATCTTGTTGTTATTGGATAAGTGACATTATCATTTGTGCATCAGCTGTTGTCATC